CAAAGCATTACTCCCTACATTTCTTGAAAATGACACTGTGCATTAGTCCTCCTTCTGTTCCTCGGGCTGATCACTGCATAGAAACTCACATGCATCTGTTCAAGGGAGGAAAGTCTGATAACTTTATCTTTTCCGGCAAAGGCACCAAACAACTTAAGGAGATAAATGTGTGAGGTACAATCCAGAAACACTAAGCTCTTGATAAGGAGCTTTAACTTGCACGAGCTATTTGATTATTCCCTATTTCACTGATGCATTCATTTCTCAACGTCCTAATAACCTAAGAGGGGACCACTAATGGAAAAAATGAATTAAAATCTTCCACTTCAGGACACCCAACAATGCCCAGACTCCTGACAAACACTGTTGTGGGAGATACACACATCCCACCAACGTAATTTGCCTACACACAAAACTGGCCTTGTTCATTGTTCGTTTTCACCCTGTGAGGTAAGTTTGTTTCTCTAGGTGCAAAAGAGAAGGAACACCTTCCTGTGACTGATGTGTTTCTTGTGGGGAATCCACAAGCAAGTGTGGCTACATGCAAACACATTTATATCTTGTCCAAATTCAGCGTGAAGGTAAATAGGCACTAAGTGAAGAAAAGGTGACATGTGTGGCTAGCAGGTGCCAGAGACCACTTTCAGTAAATCAAGAGATGCCCCTCACCAACCTTGGAGTTCTTAGAGTTCTCAGAATAATAATGATTATATATATGTATATATATGCATATATATATTCACCACCTCATAGCTTGTGAGGATAATTTTTTTGCTAGCTAAAAGACATCACCGGAGAAAACCCACAAAAAATAATGATTCTGAGCTAGGAATGCTCATGCCTGTAATTCCAGTTACTCAGAAGGCCGAGGTATGAGGATGGTGGATGGAGGCTGTCCGTTAAAGATTAGTAATCACGAAGGAAGATTAGCCCCAGTCCAGGTTAAAGGTAAGTCCTTTGCTTTTTCCTAGAAAAAGCATTAAGTGTACACCAGGTGACTCCACAATATCTGTGAGCAACACAGGTGTTCTAGAGCTTCATTCTAGAGCCTCACTCCAGCGCCAGATAGAGAAAATACAGGGGTGTTCCAGAGCTTCATTCTAGAGCTTCAATCCAGTGCCAGGTAAGATATCACACACATGTTCTAGAGCTTCACTCCAGTGCCAGATACAGACATTACACCATCAACCGCAACAGCTAATGAAATCACACAGTATGTGAGAAAATGATCATTCCATGAGAGTGGAGGAAAACAGACTAGGCAACAGGGATGGAGACCAGCTGAGCAGAGGGTCAGTGATAGATTTAAAAGAGAGAACTGAGCAGGTGATAACTAACCAAGAAGAGATTCGATGGAGGAACGGGAGCTGGCCTCTGGTGGGAGGCCTTTCACACTGTAGGCTGAGGTGGGGGGGGAGAGGATGCATTCCTAATGTAAGGAGAGTGGGGAGCCGGAGCAAGAATTGGGGCCAGCAGGTCGGTCCTGTGGGAAGTTCCGGCCACTGTTCTAAGAACCTTGACTTCTGCTTCAGGTGAACCGGGAAATCATAGAAGGCGGGGCAAGCTCTGACCAAGACCTTGAGGGGAAACCCTGGTTATTTCATCCTGAAAACAGTGTCCAGGGCATTGGTAAAGACACAGACTGTGGAAAGCAGCCTCCAGTCATGAGCATGGGGGTTCAGGCGGGGACATGGGCGGGTCAGGGTGAGAATGGCCGGCAGGGCCAGCTGCGTGTGGCATGGTGGAAGGCAGCTGCGGGGAAAAGAGCAGAGAACGCTTCCCAGTTTTCCCGCCAGAAATATGAAAGTTGTCATCCACTAGATAGGGAAAACGCTGAGGCTGTTCAGCAAGTGTGAGAGAACCAGGAGCTCCGTCTGGGAATATTCGGCCTGCATCTGACAGAGGCGCCAACGAGATGGCGGATTGTGTGTGTGCGGAACTCAGGACAGAGGTCAGAGGCTCCAACGAGATGGCGGAGCGTGTGTGCGCGGAACTCAGGACACAGGTCAGAGGCACCAACGAGATGGCGGATTGTGTGTGCGCGGAACTCAGGACACAGGTCAGAGGCACCAACGAGGTGGCGGATCGTGTGTGTATACGGAACTCAGGACACAGGTCAGAGGCACCAACGAGGTGGCGGAGCGTGTGCGAGGAACTCAGGACAGAGGTCAGAGGCTCCAACGAGATGGCGGATTGTGTGTGTGCGGAACTCAGGACACAGGTCAGAGGCACCAACGAGGTGGCGGAGCGTGTGTGTGCGGAACTCAGGACACAGGTCAGAGGCGCCAAGGAGATGGCGGAGTGTGTGTGCGCGGAACTCAGGACATAGGTCAGAGGCACCAACGAGGTGGCGGAGCGTGTGTGCGTGGAACTCAGGACAGAGGTCAGAGGCGCCAACGAGATGGTGGATTGTGTGTGTGCGAGGAACTCAGGACACAGGTCAGAGGCGCCAAGGAGATGGCGGAGCGTGTGTGCGTGGAACTCAGGACACAGGTCAGAGGCGCCAAGGAGATGGCGGAGCGTGTGTGTGCGAGGAGCTCAGGACACAGGTCAGAGGCGCCAAGGAGATGGCGGATCGTGTGTGTGCGGAGCTCAGGACAGAGGCCTGGGCTGGAAATATCATTTGGTTGGCATTGTCTTTTTCTAATGCTGAAAATAAGAAAGAGTTCCCCAGAGAATGAGTGATATAGAAGGAAGGTGCCCACACGGACAGGCGGGGGCCGCAGCCCGCAAAGGAAGGTGCCCACACGGACAGGCGGGGGCCGCAGCCCGCAAAGGCCACAGCCATTTTTTTTTGTCTGATAGGGAGAAAGATCTGGAATCTGGATTTACTGAGGTAGAGGCCATGGAATCTGTGTGATGGGGAAAGCGGGAATAAAAAGAACATGTGCAGCTTGAAGGAAACGGGTCTGGGCAGAGCTTGCAAGGAGTTGCCACAGAGGAGAGAACACAAAAGAGCTGCAGAGTGGAGAGACAAGGGCTCTGCTCTCAAACGCGGCTCAGCATACAAGTGATCCCTGAGAAGAGACATAATAGAAAATACCCAGGGCAGACTGCTGAGCAGTTCAGAGTGGTTGGGGTCTTGGGGAGAAGAACCATCTAGGCTGAGGCGGGGATGGTTCACGTGGGTAAACCCTGGCAGAAAGAGCGCCCAGTCTGCACGTGGAAAGGTGAGCTGGTAAGGCCAGGCAGGGTGTTCTGTTTACTTCAGTCTTTGCAGCGAAACAGAGCACAGAGTTATCCTCTGAGAACAGAAAGTGGAGGTACTGGGAATCCGAGGAAAACGGACACGTTTTGAGGTGATCACTTGGAGAGTGGGAGGATAGAGAGAAGGGGTTTGGAGCAGGACTTCCGGCTTGACGTCTGTCTTTGTAAATTAAGGGGAAATCAGCACAGCTCCATTTTTTTCTAGCTATGTCCTTGCGCTGCTGCAGACACAACACGAATTGATCTAGAAATGAGCTGCTGCCAAGCTCCAGTGATGAGTCAGACAAGGCATGGAAAACCCAGGCGGGGTGAGACGGGGCAGGTGTGAAGACACACCGGGGCATTTTGACTAGCTTACAGATGAATTCCGTGAAAGAAAAGCCAATGCATCCTTTTCCCCCAAACTAAGACACGCGCCATGCTCAATATAACCGCAAAAGCAGAGCCACAGTGCTGCAGGGCAAATCTACGAAAATAGACAAAAAGAAAATATCTAGAGACTCAAGGACGTGGAGAAGCAGTTTTGTATTATTGCTAATAAAAAGACTAGCAATATTGTCCTTTTCATAAAATCTTAAGTAGTTCTGCATTTCCATTTTCTAATGATACCCTTTATTTTCTCTTCCTTTCCTTCTCTCTCACACACATAATTATATTCTGTCTCTTATATCTCATATATATATATATATATATATTTACATATGTATAGATAGGTATGTGTGTGTTCTAAAATCTGAGAAAGGTTTATTTTTTCATGGCGAAATCAAATCTACGTTTGATGGATTTTTTTCCTGTGTGTTTTATCTGTAGCTTTATCTGAAGTTTCTCAGTGCATTTATATGACCTTAATTTGAAGTTACATACATTTTCATTTTTCCTGAATCAAGGCAAGTCTTGGAGGATTCCTAAACATGCTGACTTAGTAACTGAAATAACAGAGCATTTAAAGTAAAGTATCTGCTGTACTAAAGACATCTGAAGCAATGTGTGTGCCGAGGCGCACACTGGGGAGAGTGGGGCTTCCGAGATGGGTAAGGAGGAATGAACGGGGCGGCCACCAGGACGGCGTTCTGTGCGTGCTCAATCCAAGTGTCCAGTAAGACATGTTCAAAGAACCAAGTGGTTTACCCCAGCAGGCCCAGCCAGAGCTGAAGCAAGGCTCCGTGTGGAGTTGCTGCAGAGGGGAGCAATCAGAGAAGGCCCACGAAGGTGCTTTCCCGCCTGCCTTGGCTTTCAGAGGAGGAACTCTGTGTGATGTTATTTCCTCTCGGAACACAACTAACACACACATTTGAGCTTGTTTCTTGTCCTTGCATTGGACTGCATGTGACTTCTAAGTTGGATGAATGTAAGTTTTGCAATACTCAGCATATTAAGTAGCCATCTAGTGAATTTCAGGTGACCTTCCCTTTATATCTGCTAAATCCTTACAATTCATAATTCCAGTCAAGATGGCCTCTGCAAATCACAATACTTTGGGATTGAACATTTTCCTTCATTATGCCACTGGTAATCTTTATTCCAGTGATACATTTCCTTTGCCCTCCGGACAGTCTCTTAGGATACATTCACAAGTCAGTGAGAGGCCAGATTTGGTGTCTCTCCCAGGATACTGGGCTAGAATACAATGGTCTTTAACATCATTGCAAAGCTTAGATAACTTTTAAATTGTAGCAGATTCACACATACAAAGGAGTCTTCTGGTATCTACATGCATTAATGTTCTCGTTTTTAGTTTTATTTTAGAAAAATGTTTTAAAACAGCCAAATAATATTCCAAGAACCCGCCTTACCCGGTGAGCTTCACTGCATGTGACCGCAGCTTCCTGTACTTGGACTCTTCACGTGAGCCGGCCACGTGTCTGTAGATGCCTGTTTTGTAGTGGAAGAAATCCTCGTGGACCTGCATTATGGCTGAAATGAAACCCAACAGGACACAGGACAATGTTGAAAACCTCAGCTTTGAAAGTCTTCGGGAATTCTCCCCCAGAGAAATCACTGCACACAATGAGGAGGACGTGAATCTGAAAGAGGGCTGGCAGGGCAGCCGAACTTCTTCTCCTTCTCAGTTTCATCTACTGTAATGTTTTCTTATACTCTTTACCTATGTATAGGATTAAGTGAACATTATGCTCCTTCTGTGCCGTTCCAGTCAGACCAGAAGGGCGCTGAGCCTCGGGCAGCGAGGGTCAGAGATGGCTCATTGTTAACCTTCAGTGTCCTTACCAGGCCCTGAAAACCCCAAGAAGGCCTCGGCCAACCACATGGAAAGCCACGGTCCCTCATCTGGGTGAAAAACGCAAAGCGGTACTTGGGAGTTTAAATACAAAACAAACCCTTGGCGGAAGACCGCTGGGACAGGATTTCACCTTCCACCTCTGGAGAGCTGAGTGGGCCCTGTGCCCTTCAGCAGCCGGGACCAGCACCCCGGAAACGCCTCGCATTCTCTCACGAGGGTGAGTTCTGTATTGTGCTGATGCCATTCGAGGCAGAGACTTTCCCCTTGGCTCCACAAAGTGAGAACTGAAGAGTTCTGAAGCTGGAATTTGACTCGGACGTCTTATAACTGCCAACTATTTATCTACCTTAGAGCGTGTGTGTTTAAAACAAAACAGAAGCTAACATCACTCACGGCTGAAAGATCCTAAAATGAAAAGCTTAGGCTCCAAAGATAAATATAGCTTTTGAATGCCCCACTTTTTACTTCATTTTTAATGGTCCATGTCTTGGCTGAAGCTCTTCAATAGCCCCAAAGAAGCTAAATCTTTATCTGCTCTAAAATACATTTTGATAGGACTTTAAAGTTTTTACATAACTGCACTCTACGAAGATTTCTGCTTTGTTCTCTTTCCGTCACCTATACTTCTTTTTAATCCTACAGATTTCAGGAGAACGTACACAGTGTTATTTGTGTGGCATTCTATTCCTTTGACCTTCTTTTGTGCTGAGGTAGGAAGAAGTGTCCAACAACAATAAGTGCATAATCATGTGCCTCTACAATGAGCACCAAACAGCGTTCTATCCATTCACAAAAACAAGGAGGCCTTTCGGGTGGTTCTCCTCTGCTGTGGAACCTTTAACTCCTCTGAGTCACCTCTGCTGTGTCATGAAAAACCAGCACATGACTATGCACACTACCACCGTGCGCACACTACCACAGTGCAAGTTTACTCTTGGAAAGCCACGGCAAATTCATTATACAGACGTGTAACCTGTGCAAGGGCCGTGTGTGTGTGTGTGGATGGCCTTTGCTCTCTCTGGGCTGTGGCCCATCCAGGCCAGCAAGGACACAGCTTCTCAACACGTCCTTGAAAAGTGAGCGCTGAGCCATTCACATTTTTTTTTTCTTTAACTCATTGCCTTGAAGGACTTTTCCATTCCATTTTGAAGCAATAGGTAAAATTTGTACACGTTAAAAAAACTCCCAGCTTCTAGTGATTAGGATTCAAATTGATTTTGATTGGCTAGAGAAAGACACAAAATGCAGAAAAGGCTGAGTAACTTGTCAAAAGTTATTAAGGAATGTCAAAATTGGCATCTTGAGTTTAGCTCTGAGTCAAATGTCTTCCCTCCTTCAAATCTGTCTCATAAATACCCCTCACTAAAGCACAGATGGAAATTAGACATGAACCTATCCCTCCCCATTCCTTCCCCGCCCCCCCCCCCGCCCCTGCACTTACAACATCCAACAAATCATGCAGATGTAAGAACCCAGAGGCTTTAGCTTGGTGCAAAGTTCTAGCAATTAAATTTAAATTCAGGGAAGTTTAACTCTTTGCTTTTATTTCTCGATGAATAAGTTATTTCAGTATAATTAGAAAATACATGACTTCTGCTATATACTGAACTGATACAAATTAGATCAACATTCAGAAGAAAGTAAAAAAAAGATAAAAATAACTGGTCAATAGTTTTCTCTAGTGTGTATCATGTCTTAAATTCATTGCGACTTATTCTAAATTTGACTTCATTGATAATCTATTTAGTTCCCTTCAGAATTCAAGACCCGAATTCCCATCTTGCACCTTGTTCAGTCTGGTTTCACATGCACTCAAGGTACAGAGAAAATATTCTGTGAATTTATCAGACTTCATGACATTGGCACAAAACAAAATCCAATAATTCAACAAACAAAAGGAAACATTATCCCAGAGGGTAAGAGAAGATTGGTCTACTTTGACAGTCTGTGGTAAGTCACAGAAATCATCATACTACTTATTTAATTTGCTTTTCACAGAGAAAAGAATTGAATTTGTTTCTATTAACCCTTATTTCCCCCCATCCATTGCCTGATTCACTAACAATGAAAAGAATTAAATGTCTGGTCTTAGTTATGAGTCCTAACTACGATCAAATGAACAAAATGAGCTTTGTGGTGGACACCTGACTTCACGTGGAACACTTTTTTGGTCCAGGATCACTCTAAGACTTCCACTTTCCTCTGATGGGTCACTAAGACTTAAAATGGGTCACTGATCTCTAAGAGATCAATTTATAAGTGAGCCCTTCATGTGAAAATAAAATGGCATTGAGGGAGGTTATCAGCAGCTGAGCCGATGGCCCACCCTTCGGAGCTGTCCAGCCCTCGGGTTGTTTTTCTTTCAGTAATCTCCGTGTACACTAGCTCGGCATCACGCTTATTAACAGGACGGCTGGAGTAAAACCACGCTGCATGCGTGCTTACCTTGCACGGGTCCATTTTGCATGATTTCCCTCATTATCTCGGTTTCCTGGAATGAGAAACGGAAATGAGCATTCTCCAGACTGCCACCTGCGAGCGCACGGAGCGCGGGGAGTGCATGGAGCACGAGGAGCACACAGAGCACACGGAGCGCGGGGAGCACACAGAGCGCACGGAGCACATGGAACGCAGGGAGCGTGGGGAGCACACGGAGCGCACGGACTGCGGGGAGCACGGGGAGCGCGGGGAGCACACAGAGCGCACGGAGCACATGGAGCGCAGGGAGCGCGGGGGAGCACACGGAGCGCACAGAGCACATGGAGCACAGGGAGCGCGGGGAGCACACAGAGCGCACGGACCTCCGCGGGGAGCGCAGGGAGCACAAGGAGCGCACCGCACCGGAGCGCGGGGTGGAGCGCGCACAGAAGGCACAGAATACCACGAGTACATGGAGCGCCTGGAGCGCGGGGAGCGCACGGAGCGCGGGGAACAGAAGGAGCACACGGAGCGCACGGAGCACATGGAGCGCGGGGCGGAGTACATGGAGCGCAGGGAGCACACAGAGTGCGGGGAGCGCGGGGAGCACAGAGTGCGGGGAGCACGGGGAGCACACGGAGTACACGGAGCGCCTGGAGCGCGGGGAACAGAAGGAGCGCACAGAGCACACGGAGCGCATGGAGCGTGGGGTGGAGTGCATGGAGCGCGGGGAGCACACAGATGCACAGAGCACACTGCAGGCAGCGTGGGGCCCTGCCCTCGCGTGGTGCTCCATGATCCTTGGTGAGACGGTGACTCAGGTGGCCCGTGATCCACCGTGGCCGGCCTCCTGTGACCCCCACACACGTCACCCCCACGTCCCCTGGAGCCAACTGGTGCCCGTGCACGTCACTTTCCGTGTGGAGTGCGGACGCACTGGTGTGTGCCCTGCGTGCGTGTGCCCTGCGTGCGCGTGCCTGCACGCGTGCGCGGTGGACGGGCGCACTCACGTTGGAGGAGACGCGGTAGGCCGGCGAGCACTGGAAGATGCGGTTGGACTTCTCCAGGCTGTTGGGACACGGCCTCGTGGCCTGCCGCCGGCCCCGCGCGGCCGCCCGGCTCTCCATGGCGCACGCGTGAGCGTCGGGCCGCGGGTCCCTCAGGAGCGGGTAGCACGCGTGCGACACCAGCCTGCGGGGAACAAGCGCGAGAGGCAAACGGGGTGTTGGGGCCGCCGCCACGCCGCCCGCGGGCACCCCAAACCGGGGAGGACCCCGCCAGAACGCCTGCCAGCTGCGCGCCTGGCCTCGGGACAGCCCAGGGGCGCTCGGAGGCCTGGCGCCGTCATGGCTCCCTGTCCTCAGATCTCTTATTACGAATCTCCGCATCCTACGCCTCTGTCCTGCTCACCAGGCCTCTAGTCAGTGGGGAGTTTCCAGGGTGACACGGGCCGGCCGACAGCCTGTGGCAATGTTAGTAATAAAGGACTCCTTCCACCTGTGCTCCTAACAGCAATGACGATATGGGAGAGGAGGGCAGTCCATGACCGCCTGTTCACAGAGGAGAGGGGCCCATCCACTGCGCAACGCTTAGAATTAGATGCTTTTTCTATCGACATGCCCATTAACCTATTGATACTTTCATCCTAGCACGTCAAAGATTATATGTCTGTGGTTCATAATACCTTGGGAAAAGAGTATAAATATTATAATACATATTATATAATAGAACATTTAATAAGGTAGACATTTATCAAATACATTATATGGGAGACTAAAAATCATTTTGATTTCTGGATGCAACATTGAACAATGCAAAGTGCCAATTATTAGACTCCAAATCTAGTGAAGCGTGTGGAGTAGAGGGGAAGACCACAAGAGACCACAAGAGAGCCCAAGTGCTCTCAGACACACAAGGCTAATGTGGCCTAATGGGGTCCCACTAAAGAGGGGTCTGGGAAAAGCAGCCTCCATCTGGGCGTGGGAACACGGAAGGGGACAAGATGGAAACAAAGGCATCAAAACGGTCAAGCAGTTCAACATCTTCAGCTGACGGTGCTGTATCTCTATGGATGTTGAGTGCTAGGAGTTGAGTTGTGACCTGTCACTCTGCTGAAGCATCTGTGATGGTAACTCAAGATGGGCGTCACGGGGATTGGAAGGAGGTCGCAGCAACGGCGCCCTTAGGGATGGGATGGGAGGCCTTTCAAGAAGAGACTCCAGCGCCCCAGCTCCAGAACGTGGCATCTGTTACCCAAGCCATTGCCTCTTGTATGTCTTGTTATGGGGGGTGGGGGGCAAGGACACAGCACAATGAGACTCCGTGGTGTGTCAATGATAATTGATCACTCAAGTCCCTCTAAGGCTTTTTTTTGTTGACATAATACAGAACAGAAGCCACGCGCACAGTACTACACCCAGAAGGTATCAGACGGGTCTGTGTGCTCAGAGAAACACTTCACTAGGCAAAATATATGAGAAAATGATGAATGCCCGCATCAGTGTCTGAGGTGCCCTGGCCCTTCTCAGCCTCTGACTGTTGTAAGGAAGACCCAGAGCGGTGGCAGCAGTGCATCCACTTCCATCCCCCTCGCTGAAGACCCACAACGCAGGAACAGACACGTCCTGAGACAGACAGGAGGGAGTGGTGCTGGTGTCACACTAAGGAGAGGCGGATGGCCGTCACCACATGGGAGGGAGTGGCCAACGGGACCGGAGGCAACTGGGAAGTGCCTATTTTATTCTTCCTATTGCTAACCTGATTTCCCTATTCATCAAGCTGGGGAAGAAAATGGCGAATGAGGAGACACAGCCGCTTCGATTCTCTTCCTCCCTCTCTGGGGATCAGAGTTGAAACAAGAGCAGGCATGCCACCTTTATTCTTAATCCGGGGGCCTTGTCATTTCAGTCAATTCCAAGCACATGCTCCGACGTCACGCCACACTCATAGAGACAGGATATGCTGGAGGTACTTTCGGGTCTACCCTGCCTCGGTCAGTGCCCTGTGGCAGCCTGGGGCGCGTGGGAGGAGCAGAGCCGAGCAGCTATTTACCCACGTTTTCTCAGGAACCACCAAGCTCTGTCGATGCTCCCACCGTGGCACCCGAGGCGGCTCTTGGCACAGCAGGAGATCAGGTTCTGGGGGGACAGGTTAGCGGTGTACTGACCTTTGGAGTGAATTGCAATTCGGTCAGCTGCCACGCCTGTTTCAAACAGAATACTGGTTAATAGGCAAGCGGTACCCCACAGCGTCCTTCTGATGTCATGTGGAACTACACAGCTAATTCAGACTGCTGAACTTCTAGCTGATGTCATATCTGAAGGCTGCCTAGTGTACTTTCATGCTCATAATACAATGGAAAATCACTGCCTCAATCTTATCTTTGTGAGTATGTTATTAGTCATAAGTATAAAGTTGTAGTATGTTATTAGTTATAAGCAGCATTGACCACTGCAATTATTATTAATTGATACTATTATTTGGTTATACACAATAACACAGCTGCAAATAGCCACAAATCCATGTATATGCTATCTACTACAATATGCAATTACTGACATTCTGCAATTACTGACATTCTGCTTTATATAATTAATCTGGGGATATTACTATGGAAATGTATAGACACATAAAGATTAACCTCTTTGAACCTCCCTAACATTAAGATGGTTGTAAGTTCGTTCTTTCTCTCAACTCTTTTGAGCACTTACTTGGCCCTAAGCACTGGAGCATTAGAAGTTACAACAATTAACAAGAAACAGATAAAAGATGCTTTTCTCAGAAAAGAATCAACTAGAAATCTACATGCACCATCACAGCGACCACGGTCTCATGACAGGCTGGCATGGGCATCCGTGGTGCCAGTTAATACAATGCCATCATGATAGTTAGAGATGTTTGCTTGCCGATGCCTAAACTGTCTCCTTTTCAATGCTTAGATTCAGACTGAGGGAATATCTTGTTCTCTTTTACATGAAGACAATAAGAATATAGTCTTTCTTTATCAATTATATTCTTGTCAGTGGAAGTGGGTCTTTTAACATCAAAATTGTCTGTCTGTGTACTGTGATTTGTTTTTTCCAAAATAACTCACTTAAAAAGAATCCATGGTTTTGTTTTTTACGTTTGTGGTTTTATGTGACTGTAGCAAGTCAGGGATAAAGTCGTGGGATAAGTCTGAAATTTTTGGACTTCTGAACCTAGATAAAAGTAGCTATAAAAGAAGCATCACTCACACTTTTGGACCAACATTCACGAGTTGTATCACAATTGCTTCCTGTTCATGTATTAATTTAGTGTCCGTAGCTGGGTTTGGTTTAGGGCTCAAGCTTGCCAGGCAGGCTCTTTTTGTTGGCTAGCCTCATGGTTTTACCTGGGCCGTCCTCAGACCATAAGTATCCTACCTCTGGCTTCTTATGTCAGTGGGATCACAGATTTACATCACCACAGCCTACTAATAAACTGAGATGGGGGTCTTGCTAACTCTTTGCCCACCCTCTCTTGGAATATCATACTTCCTAACCTCCACCTCCTAAGAAGCTGGCTGGAAACACAGACGTGTGCCGCTGCACATGTCACTCCACAGTCAGAACCCATGTCTTCTTGACCAACGAGACTGAAAACATTTCATCCACTCTTACTTATTTCTCAAGTTTTACTTCCCTTCAAAATAGTTCCACAGCGATGAAGGAAGACATACAGCTTGTGTGGGGTCCATACGCATGCTAAGACTGTACGTTACCCTCTGGGTGAGGTGAAGCCCTAATGCTCCTCTAACCCCTGGCCATCGCTCGCCTTTGGCCAGCACACTCCTAGCCGTGGCTCCTTTGATTCATTCTGCATTTAACATGAGATATGGATGACCAATTCTTAGGTGGAAATATATAACCTTCAGGTTGTTTTCCTAGGCCACAATAAAATTTTATTTTAATTGACCAGATGGTAATACGTATACATTCTAATTTGTAAAACTTTTAAGTTGCCCTCTCGGACTCCTGAGTCAAAGGGGAAAATTATACAAATGTCATTAAAATGATCATATTACTTGCGGTGGAAAATGCCCACGATGCAGCACAGTTTTTCTGATCCAAAGGGCCGTGAGTCCATCCGGGCCACTTATAAGAAGAAATGAAAATCTCTGGGAGGTCAGTGTGGGTGGGTAAGGAGGCCTGGAGGAGAGAGAGGCAGACAGGTTAGGGTTTCTCAAGTGTATTCTAACAACCACCACAAGAAGATGTCAGACCTTCATACCACAGTTCCTTCTCTAACCGTTTCCTACATCCAAGATTTTGAATGCAGTATAGTTTTGTAGGATTTCTGTTTCACTCCACGCTAGAAATGACATCTCGCTGTGGGGAATCGTGGTGTAAAACAAACTCATCGGAACAATCCGGAGAGCGCTTGCGTTACCTCACATCAGGGTCCCTGCCATCGTGACCACCCCTAGAGACTGTGTGATCCGACTCTCCGCCCCTTCCTTCAGAGGTGAAATCCACATTGCAGTGATATGTTTCTGTCAGCTCCTGAGGAACACTCCTGGGGCGCAGGAACAGCGGGTATCACTCAACGCCTCCCTACTCTGCTGTCTCGGCATGCCAGAGTGCCTTCAGACGCTGAACACGGGAAGCTGCTGAAGTTTCCAGAAAACTAGACAGAACGTCAGCTTCCCAAGGCCAATTTAACCTCACAGCAAATAAAACCTTATCTTTGTGGAAGCAAAGATACAGTGATGACTCTTACTCTGCCGTGGACTGAGTGACTCTGAGGCGGCCCTCATCTGACAGGAAGTGGCCCTGCAGCTGACAGGAAGTGGCCCACATCTGACAGGAAGCGGCCCCACATCTGACAGGAAGCGGCCCCGCATCCAACAGGAAGTGGCCCCACATCTGACAGGCCCACGTGGCATTTGTGCGCCCTGGTAGCAATGTTGGGGTATATCTGTCAGGGAAATGTCAACTCTTAAACACATTTCCCTCAGCACCCTCAGGGAAACGATTACACCGATATGCCCTTGTCGCTTTTATGGTTTATCCTTTAAAAAGTACGCATGTACAGTGCTTCCCACTCGGATAAGGCACCCGAGAAACAACGATCAGAGCGACAGTTTCCTTGAAAATGTGCTTCACAGTCCTTGGAGCCAGATGATTTCTGGATGTTTACCTCTTGGTTTTTTAAAGATTTTTTTAACTGCTTATTTACTATTGCTTTCCATAAAAATGGGTCTCGAGGACGTGAGGCCTGTAGGCTGCATCCCCCTGTGATTTTATCGACCCCATGAGATCCAATAACCTCACAAAATGAACACAGAGGAAATTGTGTATCCCAGTATTCTATGCATGTCACATGCCCTGTAAAGTAGGAGTGCGTTAGAGACTGCAAAGAAACACAGAATAACAGCGTTCAGGTCATGGCAGTCTGGCTTCAAGAGATGAGACACCTGAACTATTTTCTGCCAGCAAAGCAAAATTATTGACAAGGAGCCACTCAGCTGGACAGAAATTCCAACGTGTTTGTCTTACATGACCCGGGAAGCGATCCTAGAGCAAGATTTCCTCTTCACTTGCATGGGGACACTCCCCGCGCTCCTGCTTTCATCTAGGAATTACAAGGAATAAAGCAGCCAGGGTGGACAAGTTGGAGAAGGAGACGCAGAGGGAAACCCGGGGAATTTGGCTTTGTGGTGACTCCGCCGTGTATTGACCGTAGTTCTCTGAGTGGTGAGGGGCGTCCAACGCCTGAGGCCTGACTCACACGCCTGGCATTTCCTGAGGAAGTGGGCGTGGATTCCACATGCCCTGTGCACCGGCAGGGCGCACACGGTGCTGATGGCTCTTCCTCCTGCGGCAGTGGGTCCCCACTTCAGTGTGGACAACTACCATGTCCTCAGAATCACCCCAAGCCGCCAGCGTGACCGGGAATCAACCAAAGCCACAGAACACACGACTCTGCCCCGACCTGGCCGTCTGAGGTCGGCGGCCCTGCGCACCAGGCACACCCCACACATGGGAGGAGAGGGCAGCTTCCCCGCTGGAAGAAGGGACGGGAATGCCTCCTCTTCAACACCTTTGCCTTCATGCCTGAACCCCGAAACGCCCCTGCTGGTTCTTCTCTAGTGTCTCAGGATAGAAGGATTTTCTAAATGATGCTAATAGCACTACTTGATGACCACTGATGCATTCATGCCCAGCTTTTCCTCAAGGGAATAGGTGTCTTCTCCAGACACGTGCAGGGTCAGGAAAAGTGGCGATTCCTGCCCCCCATGGGGCGATGAGGTCCATATCTAGGCTTCCATGTGGTGATTGATACCCAGGTATGTGTCATGGGGGATGTTGGAGAACTAAGAGGCCACGGGAACTTGCCTTTTAATCCTTTCCCTTGATTGCGCATCTTTTCCTGTGGGTAGAAATGTGCATGTCACTGATGGCCGCAGCACGTTCTTCGGACTTGTTATAAAGTCTGTGCAATACAGGATGGATGGGTCCTGCAGCAGAAGGAAGCGGCCGTCCTGTCTGGGATGTGGAGACATCCGGTTAGGTCTTATGTGTGTGGCTACTGTGTGTGGCTTCAGTCACTCTCGGCTGAGCTGGATGACGGCTAGCATGACGCTCGTGATGACCATCAAAGCTGCCCACGCAGCACCATATCCCACTAAAGCCACGCGCCATGCACCGTCACGGGCCTCCCAACCCCAGAAGGACGAAGAAGGGAAGAAATCATGAGCTGTGACTTTCCTCGGAGCAGCCCCTTAGAACGCCGTTCTGAGGAACCATGCCCGGTCACTGCAGAGAGTTGATTCACCCCACAGTTCCCAGAAACCTGGTTCTGAAAATTAAAAAGATGGTTGTCACCACTGCTGTGTGTTGTGGTACTTTTGAATGTTTTGAAACAGCCAGTGTTTGTCAGACTCCAAAAAGTGGAAATGATGGGAATGGCTTCAACATTTCATCATTTGGGCCAGTACAAAATATGTTGCTTTGATACCTTGTCTATCATTTTTATGGTGAACCTGCCATTGTGCGCATCACACTTCGGGAAGAGGATGGGTAGAAAAGACAGACCATCGACGTCTGTCTGTGGCCTATGTGTGAGCCAAACGTCACGGTTGTAGGTGAGGTCTTCAGTTTTGTTCAATTTCAGGCCACACGTATCTCTGGTTAACTGTGTCCTCCCTTCTGTGGCCAGCATCTGGGATCCCAGAGAAGCTTCTGTGTACATCAATGACAGCTGTTGGAATTAGGTTAAGATGTCCGTTCAGATAGTGATTGCTAAGCCAACTAAAAATGCCAATACTCTATGAGTAATGAGAAGAAAAGAAAGGAAAAACCTAAACCTGGAAATATTCACCTTGGTTTTTCCAAATATCTGTCTAATGGCTCAGTTCTGTTATTACCGAAACATATTTTTAGAAGGAAAACCCATTTCCTCCTGTTACATCTAAATGGCTTAGAGAAATAAATTGAGCCAATCGACTGTCACGTGTATCTAGAGAATATTAAAGTGTTTGGAGAATTAGATGATGTTTTCAATTCTCGTCTAAACATTACTGTCTTTAAAGGTCACGGTATGGTATTACAATGTCACATTATGTAAACGCCCAGCAAACCACATCATGACATTGTTTTTCATGATTCATTTATATTGGGGAGGGCGGGAAAGATGTGTTATAGTAGTTAACTGTGAAGTTAACCAAAAAATACAAACATGTTTGCCTCTGACCATCTCTGATGCCACGTATCTGCAGGCTTTAAATTAGACACCGGCTTTCTTACGATGTTAGCACTTAAGTTTAGTGGGGTCACCCCATTCATACAATGGGGGAAATCTCGGCCTTGTAGCCATTGCTGCTCTTCTACCTCCTGCTTTGTAATGACATGAGGGAAGGAACAAATTGAGGGAGGGCATGGGCAGGAAGATTCCTCGCTCATTCTTCCCACCCAGAATAAAGAACTCTGCGAGTCAAAGCTCTGACACAGGCAGGTCAAAGGAGGGGGCTGGGCCATTAGGGTGAATGGATTTCCTTCACCTACTGGAAAGCATGTCCCATTGGCGACGGCCTGAGGCCATTATGTTCAACGTGGAGGAAATATCAGTTGACTCAGGAGCATAAACACAGAAACAATCTTCCCTGTGTGTGGAGGCCGTTTGATATCAAGTACTGGGCAATTTCCACATCATCATATGGCCAAAATCGTAACCTGTTGTTCTCTCTGTTTTTCCGGTGTCTGCCAGTTCAGCTCATTCCACGTGGACCTCCTGCTCTTCCTGAAAGTCCAATTTTCTTTTACTTAACCAGTTATTAGGAACTCGCTCTTCCGTGTCCCATTTCCGTGTCTTACATGCTCAGTGGGTAGCAGAACTCTGGCAGGTCAGCTGGGCTTCTCTTACCACTTTCTTGCCATTACTTGTCTTACATTAAGTTGCCCTGCACTGGGTAACTGAAGTTCTCCTGAAGTCTAATCATTGTGAACTTTCACTTAAATATCACTGCAGAGATGTTTTTATGCAAACAAATCTCCAGGAGCCAACAAATGCTTTTGAATGAGATTTTTTTCTTTATAATGATGAGTATCAACTTGAGAAAGGACCAGACTTTGTTTCATCTGGATTTCAAATCATCCCAAAGGGCAAATGGCAAGGTTTAGAAAAAGGAAATGTTGGAAATAATCTCAAGGACGTGGAAATAAACCTTAGCGTTGGGTCTACCAAGGCCCTCAACACACGAGGCGGGAGAATGGCCTGTACAGCGGAGGGATTTTCCCAAACAAAGCCAGCTCCTTTCCCAGGCTGGGGCCCAGAGAGAAAGGATGATACATAGAGGAAAGTTCTCTTCTGCATGTTGGTTTTAGAGTTAGGACGTGAGACACCGCGAACCTGAGCCACAACTCCAAAGAGTTTATGCGGCTGTCTACAGGAAAGATCCAGAGCCACCCCTATGCAGATCATGTCAGAAAACCAGCTAGGAGATGGCAAGATCCTTTGTCTTCCTTGAACCTGAACTGACCAAGCTAACAGGTTCTACGGAAACTCCGAGGACTATCTGCTGATCCCAAGATGGACTATTTGCTGATCCTTAGAGATGTCCTGGCTCTGAATGCAAGTGATTCGTGGCAGCCCTGCACCTGTCTCCATCTCAGAGGGATTCAAACTCCATCAGTATTCATCCCCCTGTCTTCAAAGTGTGGCGAACCGTCATGTCCCCTGCACCGCACTCCCATGAGAGTTGAAGGAGACAGAGTACGGGGGGGGGGGGGCTGCGTACCCACACACACCCATATGTGCTTTGGTAGATTCTGGGGACACACCCTCACCCACCAGCATAGTTTTCAACGTGACATTTCGAGCCTCTGCTTCAATCTCAGGAAATCATGGATAGTCTTACAGTTGTAGGTAGTCAAAAAGAGGCACATTTTAATGAGTCCTACAGTTCGAGCTCGACCTGTTTGCTATTTACACTGCATTTGTTCCTTTGGGTGCTGCTGGGGTTTGGACTGGGGGCCTTGCCCCGGCCGGCCACCCTGCTGCTGAGACCTGCCTTCTGCACTGCTGTTCACATAGAGCCTCGCTTCCCACCCCCATCCTTGGATACAGATCCAGCTCTTTTAAGGTTACTGCCTCGCCAGGATGACAGATGCAAGATGGCGATGCAGTTCACTCTGTGGAGATGGCGTCTCACAGACTTTTCTGCCTGGGTTGACCTAGAACTCTGATCCTCCCGACCTCCATCCCCCACGGAGCCATGGGAGCGATGTGTGCCCCGCTGCACTCGGCTCCCGTTGAGAAGGGCTGTCCTGTGTTAGTCTGCCCACAACAGCCCTGAGCAGGGGCCTGACATCCGTGGCCAGCAGGTAGCCTGGGTTACAGGCACTCAGCGAGCCATGGCCCTTGGCTTCCTTCACTTACTTTAAACCACAAATCTACTTGCACGCGTACACACACACACAGAGACGTGTACACACACGTGAACTGGGAGGAACACTTACTGTGACTTCATTCATGCTCAGCAGCGTGGGGCCAGGAGGCAAGGTGCCCAGGCGGTGTGTAAAGCCCTCTTGCAGCGTCATTCCCCAGAACTGGCTGTAGTTCTGGGCCGTCCACCTGCCTTCCACGAGAGAGGAGACGCCGACAGGTGAGACTCACACTTCTGAATTCACCTGTCGATCTGCAGGCACAGCGGGCAGATCGCACAGGGTGGAAGCGGTCCCTGCCAGCTAGACCGTCCCTCTACAACGATAAAGTGTTCATTATCCTGCAGTCAGATAGAGGAGACAATCCTCCTGAACCCAGCGCATTTCAATTATTGCAGAGATTCATCGAGACACATAAAGGTTACGATGAAGAACATGGAATCTTCTAATACTGTCCTTGGAAGGATTAAGTGATAAGAGCAATAAATGAAGTTTCTTTAAGTGTCATTAAATGGGTTTTAGGAAGAAGCTTAAATATATAGAAATGTACTTCTAGTTTCCCTACAGTAATCTGTTTCCATTATACTTTAGATTTGAAAAGCTAGAGAACAGGTAAAAAGTTTCTGTGGAAAAATGAGAACAGACTAGTTATACTTCTGTTTTTCCCTTTGTTTTTTCACTCCTTGGAATTGAACCCAGGGCCTCATGCCTAGCAGACCAATACCCGACCATTGTGCTACACTCCTGCCCTGAGCAGTTGTAGCCCTGATGACTAATTTTATTGACATAGGCTATTTTATACTGCATGATAATTTGTGCCCAGTATTTGATCATCTCAGATAGTAAATATGAAGTTGATGTGAAATTAGGTGGTTAAAAGGCTGGTGCATGTTTTTTAGATATTTTGTGCTCATATCTAGATTAAGATACTTTCTTTTTAAAATGAGACACTTAAAATAATAATAAAATGAGACATTTGAATTTGCACGCAGATTTCTTTGGGAGATGGTAAACAAAAATTAGAAAGAAGAAAGTAATTTAATCATTACTTATTTAAAATATCTAACATTTGAGGGCAATACGTTTTCATACTTATGTCAGATCTAAACTTTATTTTGTTGTTTTTATCACAAGTCATGTATAATGGGATGAGTGATTAGAAATATAACTCAGTGTTCACCAATATGCCTAGAAAGTTAATAAAATCTGTTAGTTCATAGAATTTATGTTTTGTTGCCATACAAGCTCCCTACCGCAAATCCCTGCCTCTAATCAGTTCATAAAATCTTCAGTAATTCTCAGCTACGATTTTAATGTGTCATTTGCACCAACTGAGGACTCTCAATTAAGGGAGCAGTCAGCAAATTCTAGGCCAGTGGCCTTCACTGAATAGTGTAAGAGGAATGTTTAAACAAAGTAAGGATAGACACCAGGAATGCAGACAGAGAAGCAAGCGTCTCTCCCCACCGGAGGCTGTACCCTTGCAAAGTCTACAAAAAAGCGAAGCAAAGGCTTCGTGGAGAGCCACCTTCGCAGCGCGGGCGCGATCAGAGCAGAGGCTCCCACAGCGCTGGCCAGAGTTGGCACGCTCCCGTGGGAAGCGAAGCTAACGTCTGATGAAGGCAAAAGGAGGAGGCTGGGGGCCAAATGTGCGGTGAGAACGCACTCACCTCAGCCAAGGCCATCCCTGAGCAAGGCCTGGAGACTGCGCTCGGTGGCTCTCCAGGGGAGCCGCGGGGAAGTCTGGTGCTAAGATGAAGGGATGGCCAGCAGGAGCGGGGGACACAGGGCCAGGGACGAGGGGAGCCGGTCGAGCATTTTCACCGAGGAGAAATTTACTTCACGGAAGGGAGAGATTTTAGGAACAACTTGTGTGACAGAATCAAAGCTTTGTGTCCAAAGGGTTGAGCGTGAAAGTGAGATGGCAGAGCAGAGTTAGAGTGAACCGAACGGGAGAGACAAACTGCGCCGCTTCAATGTGAGCTTGAGAGAGAAACCCCCCAGAACACAGCACAGGCGTGGGGGACGCAAACACCTGAAGAGTTCTGCCTGCGTAGCCACCTGAGAATGAAGCGGAAGGAAGAAGCGTCCTGGCTTGTGGGGTCAGGTGCGAGGCAGACGCGGCTCACTGAAGGGAGGGAGAGACAGCGGCCCATCCAGTTTGGGCTGGTTTGGAGAAAGATAAATATCAGTGCAGGTGTCCAAGAGATTCAATTCTAAGTCCATAAAGGAAGTCACACAGAAACTGCACAGATTACAGAAGGTCCTAAAAGACTTCTCGTTCATTCTATTAGGAGTATGGCCAAATGATAAGACAACAATAGAACTGTGTGCCACACACACACCCAGGTGCCCAGTGGGGTTGGCAGGTGCCGCTCCTGCCCAGGCAGAGCCCCACAGGAAGAGGCCAGCCCTGGCCTGCGGGAGACACAGCCCCCAGACACAGCCATGGACTCAGGAGGAACCGGATCTGGGGGAACTCTGGCCGGGCTCATAATCCTAGCACTCAGGAGACAGAGGCTGGAGAATCCCTGTGCTGAGGCCCTCTTAGACTCCGTAGCAAGACTTTGTCTCAAAACTAAACACAAAATGGTACAGACCTCATCTAATCTCACCTAAATTCAAAGGCAGAACACAAGAGCTGGAGAGCAGCTCAGGGAAAATGTTAGTGACATCCTCCATCAAAAGCAGGCTCTGGGTGCCGGCCACTCTGCAGGGCCACAGTCAGGAAAATGAGCCAGAAAAAGAAGAAAAGAAGGTAAAAGCAAAAGAATGGGAGGAATGGCTCCAGGGAGAGCGAGCTTGTCTAGCAAGCGAGAAGCTGTATGTTCAATCTCTAACACTGAAGAAAGAAAAATAAAAAGAAAACCCACCACAAAACCCAACGAACCAACCAAACAAATGCAGCTTCAGCTGAGCCTAGGCCGAATGGCTGACAGGACGAAGATGGCTGGTGCACAAAGAGCGCGCAGCTTTCAAGCGCCAGGGTTTGAAGAGGGCTGTCTGGTGGTTTCTGGGTGTGTGTCCTGGTCTCTTGGAGGTGTGAGCTAGAAACGACCAGCTGTTTAAATCCTTTCAGGAACCTAACTCAACAGTCTGTCAACTGACACATCCCCACGATTTAAATATCATCTAGTCACAGAAGATTGTAATTGGTTTTCCCTAGAAATACTTCAGTGTTATCAAGAGCTCACCAAAGACACTCCCTGAGCAAACACACACACACACACACACACACACACACACACTCACACACAGGGCTTGGGGTGAGTTAAGAAGATTAATGCCAACAAATGGGACTTTGTTCAGTTTCTATCCTCTGAGAAAGCACTTCGGATATGAGGAAACCAGAATCCCCACTGTGCCAGGGAAGACTGTCCGATGTGAGGGAGGAAATCACTCTTCTGTGTTTTAGGAAAACATGTCCCAGAGTGACTTCACCTTTCTAGTTGCTGGAAAATAGAGTTGCTGCTGTGGCACCTTTTCCAGAAATAGAGAGGGGCGGCCAAGGGCAGAGCGAGATCTGGGCCAGCGGAGGAGTCCGGAGGCAGATCAGCCGGGCTCTCCCCCTGCCCCGCAGTTCCATAAAAAGCCAGGGCTGGTGCCGGAGCCTCTGTCTCCCTGTGTCAGGGGCGAGGCCGCGCACTGTCCTAGCTGACAGGAGAGCGTGCCACGCCCACCCCAGGATTCCACCTCCATCCCTCCTCTCTGTGCATGACCAGCAAGGCGGGGCGCTCAGCCTGCCTTCCGACTCTGTGATTTGGCCTTGGGGACGATCTACGCATTGGAGGTCTTATGACCTGACTCAATGGAGCCCAGGACTGGCTTGGAGAGGGTGGCGTGGGAGAGAAAAGACTAGCCTGAAAAAGTCCACTCTGCCAACCTCCTAACAGTGTCTAAACACCCAGGCAGCATAAAGCTCCCCGGTCCCGCCACCCACGTCTGTGTGCCAACCCCTGCAGAACTGAACACTGGCCGCTAGGTTTGTGCGTTTTTATGCGTGCATTTTTATTACTGAAGTTTACCATATACATTCCAAGTCTGCACACCTTTTGTGTTTTATCTTTCTTCCTGTCTCCTGATTTTCCTCCTTAGACAATGACCACGTTCAGAAGGGAAGTATGTGTAATCTAAACCTAAAGAGTAATTGGGGTGCCAAGAAGTCAGAACTGGAGGGGGGGATTTTCCTCACCCAAAGTCTCCGTTATTGATGTGTTCCAGTAACTCTGGGCGGACGAGGCATGCGTGCTGGGAACATCTCCACTGTTGTTGAGAGCAGGTGCTGCGAAGACACAAACATCATGAAGGTGGCCAGGCCTGGCCAGTTACACCTCAGAACTGACCAGGAGACCTGACAGAAAGGATCTCGCCCAGCTAACAGGAGCCGTGTCTGTTTGATCCTTGGAGGAAAACCAATCTGCATCGCACAGATATTAGGTGTGGCCCTAGCTGCTCCCGTCCTCTGCGTTGGGCAATGGATAAATGATGCGACCACACATTCACTGAATCTGTTCTTTAAAAAATACAACTTGGAAAGTGGATTCAATGTACCGGTGCTTAGACCCTTTCTGGAAGCAGCCTGTTTTTATATAGAATTCTCCTACTCATAAAAAAGCAATTTGCTTCTAGCCTATTAAAGTGTTCATAATGAAGGGGTACGTGTGATGTCGCCCGGTGTATGGAGGAGGCTCATTATCGAGAACATTATTAAGCTCAATCACAAGAGATACATGCACAATTACGTTCTGCAATGTGCAGGGCATGCACCTATGTGGTGGGACACCCCATGATATGGAGCGCCAGCACACGCTTAAACACGTGCTCTCCCCCCCCCCCCCGTGACCCTCTTAGCAGAAGAAAGCACACACAGACCACAGGGCTGGGTCCCGAATCCCTCGGGCATTACCAGGGGTTGCAGTTCTCCTTAATTACCGATCCTTCTTTGAAGTGCTGCCCATCTCTGAGGCAACCTGTTAGCAGAAGACACACACAAATTAACCCCTCCATGGCTGCCGTGCGTCGGCAACAGGCATCTAACCCCGTGGTGAACGCTGCCACATGCAAAACCGTTCGATGCCGATCTGACGGCAGTCTACATGCGACCAGCCCAGGTTTGTATCTCAGATTCTTTCCGGGGATGTTCCAAGAGCTTTTATCTTTAAATGGCTACTATGTTACACAGAAAGGATTTGTAAAGCATAAAACCTGGGTTGCCATAGACTTAATCACTACACCAAAAAGTAATTAATTTGTTTATATATATATATATATATATATATATAATATAATATAACAGCATTTGAATTCATTTACGGTTATGTTATAAATAAAAAAAAACAGTAATCAGAGCAGAGGCCAGTGACCCACACTAGTAATCCTAGCTACCTTGGGTGCTAGGATGGTTAGGATCATGGTTTGAGGCTGGCCTAAAAAAAATAAATAAAAGTCTGCCAGATGCTTTCTCAGGAGCTGGACCTGGTGCCTAACACTGGAGGACTGTGTCCAGAAACTCTTGCAGGCAGGCAGGGAGACCCTATCTCAAAATAATAAGGAGAAGTCAGGGCTGCGTGCAGGACGCAGAGGTAAGAGCATCTGCCTAGAGCTCAAACTCCAGTTCACCTCCCAAATGCTAATCAGATCTCATAAGTGGATGTGATTCATGACAGATGACCAGAGAAAGTAGTTCATAAATCTGGACCAAAATACAAAAAAAAAAACCTCATTGGATATACTTTATAAAATAGATACATCCGGGGCTGGGAAGGTGGCTCAGTGGTAGAGTGCTAGCCTTGTATGCATGAGTCTTCAGGACCATATAAGAAGAAAAGGCTGGAAGTGGCCCTGTGGCTCAAGTGGTAGAGCACTAGCCTTGAGCTGAAGAGCTGAGGGACAGCGCCCAGGCCCAGAGTTCAGGCTCCACGACCGGAGGGGGAAAAAAAATAGATATATCCTATTTTTAATTCCTTCCTTCTTTGCTTTCCTTCTTTTTTGGGGGGGGGGCATCTTTCTTTCAGTTTCCTTCTTGCCTTTCTTTTTGATTTTTCTTCTGCTACTAGACATTGAACTCAGTGCCTAGTGCTTGTTAGGCAAGCACTCTACCGCTTTAGTCACACCTCCAATCTTAAATTCTATTTTTTCCTCAGTACTGTTACTGAGTTCAAACCCTTGTAGGGGCAAAGTTAGATAGAATAAATAAATAAATGAACAGCATGATACCTTGGGGGAGAAATTGTTTTGTACATGCAAAAAATAAAGCACAGATGTCTTTTAATTTTTTAATTTTTGCACATTTTTCCAACTTTGTGGAAGTTTCTTTCCTTTTCACCCAGTGGCTTCTAAAGCTAAGAGCTCCAGAGATGGAGTCCTGTAAGACTGAACCTAGGATCCACCGGCTTCTCAAGAGTAGCTAGAAACACAGCTTTCAATAAAGACTCCCAGGCTTTACACGCTAATCAACCCAGGGGTTCCATGGAGGACACCGAGTGGGAGGGGGCAGTAAGATGGGGCTTCAGCTAAGCCCCTGCCTGGGGTATGTTTGTTCCGGAACTCTACGCTACCATTTGCTCAGAATCAATAACCACTCTCATATAAGTAGGCCAGTACAGTAAGAGCTACCGTGCTCTGCAAGAGTCTTGTGCACTGATCACTAGACACCAGGCTTTGGTCTGCTCTACACCAACGGGCTCCCAAACCTGCCCCTTTTCAGGTAACAAGGCCTGTACTCAGCGCTTGCTCAGCTGGAGCTCTACCACTCCATCCACACCTCCAGCCCCCTCCTTTTTAAAAATAATTTAAAAGTTACAGACTAATAAAAATAAAAAGACACTTGATGGATGTATTTCATATTACTTAGGTGGGGCAGTGGCCAGACTTGATTTGCTTTCGCCTGGGATTTAATGGCATTGTTAGCGTCACAGATGTCAATGGCAGGGGTGCGTTAGTCCCGAGACAGTAAGTAGGTGAGTAAAATGTGCCTGCTGCTGTTTACGACCATGTGCCAGCTTGAGTCACTAAGAGTTTGACTCAAAAACCCTCAGAGCTCTGCTCGAAACACATCCTGTGTTCATTTTCTAGTGCTGAGGATTGAACCCAGGGTGACACACATGGTAGGCAAATTTCCTACCACTGAGCTGCAGCTGTAGCTCCCACACATTTTAAAAGAAAGAAAAAGTGGCAGATAATCTATAACTTGAAGAGTGTTTAAAACAGGGTCCAGACCAGAACTTTCCTGAAGATGCTAATGAAATGCAGGTACCCTGCTCCTGAACCAAAGCAAATGATAGTTGACAGTTCAAAGACATTCATCACAGAAACCACTTGCTCCTCAGAAGGGGAGGGAAGGGAAGGAGAGGAGAGGAGAGGAGTGGAGAGGAGAGGAGA